TTCTAAATYAGTGGGCAACATTTTTCATGTCTAGCCCTACAATAACAGTAACTGTGGGGGAAGGACATCTTACTGTGCCCCCACCCTGGCTTTCAGTCAAAGCTGTATAAAAGCCCATGAAACAACAGATGCAACAGAAGATTTTTGCATTAAAGTATGTAAAAAGTWATCAAAGAAATAATGGTTAACTCAGCTGCTTAGCATTGTAAATCAAAKAATACGGCATATTTTCAAAAGCAAATACTCTAGTATGTAAAGGACAGCATTATACTGTCACTAAGGATACTAGCTGTCATATTTTGAAGGTTAGAAATGGGTCTATGTCTTCTAGGGAAAATTCCATTCTAAGTAATACATACAGGATAGCTTAGGATTCAAGCAAATTATATTGTTTTACTTGGTAACTTAAGGTGACATGCAAATTTACTGAATTTTTTCACAATTAACAAGAAAAAAGGAGCAGTAATTGTCTGTAAAAGAAACACCATTCTCAACTTCAGTCTCTCTGACAGAGTATCAAAGATATTCTAAAGGCTGTKCTGTTAAATTTTATATATTAAGTGGCTATGCAAACAAAAAGGACTGGAAACTGGCAATTCAAGCATCTTCAAACTCATTTCCAGTATGTATACTTGAAAGAAAAACAAAGGGAAATTAAGCACTTAATGCCAATAACTGATGGAGAAAATCTCCCAATTTATTGTTTGGACCAGTCAAAGATGACAAGTTTATGATCATGTTAATAACAAAGCACAGGAAAACAGATCTTGAGAGACTGGCTCTGTAAAACAAGCCTCTATTTATCACATCTTTTACTGATAACTTCTTGGAGAAGGCAAATTATCTACTTCAATTTTGTCTCGTAGATCTGTACAAGAAAATGTCATCTTCTTTGTTGATWTTGTACAATTTCATACCTGTATCACCAATGTGATATTTGCAGAATGATGCAGAAATGTTCTCTAYCACATAGTTTTTAACACATGCAAAAGGGTCATTTCAAATCCTTTAACCGAAATTTACCTACAGGAGATACAAACATAAACTGAATAACTATCATCCAGAGTGGTGTGGAAATTTTATCTGGTAACATACTAATCTCARAGTAAGAAAGTATTTTCTTTTGAGTCCCACCACTATTCTTTTTCTTAGCAAATACATCGTTGATAGACAGAAACAAGCACTTTTCACAATAAGTAAAAACAGATGCATTGCTTAAGAAAGGAATGCAGGATTCAGAGTCAGAATCATCTCTTGTGTACTTCAAAATCCAACACTGTACAATATATTTGTCCTTATCCTTAGTTGTGTGCAGATGGCTTTGGATGGCAGCATGTCAAAGTATCTTTTAGTAKTTGACAAATGACATTCAGTACAACAATAATTATAATCTTTCAGGGCAGCAATACAAGGGAAAATGAATCTCAGTTAAGAGTATCCAAAGAAACTGCATTTCTATTAGCAGCGCATCCCCCTCCTAGTGTGCTGGGATGTTTCAGGATGTTCTAGTCCTGAAAATGTTGACTCCTGACACAGACTTTTATTTTCTAGTCTTTTGGTCTGCTGATAATCTACAAATAAATTACCTATATTCCAGATACTATCATTAATTTGCTCATGCATTGTTTTCAGCTGTTTGCAACAGGAAAGACTAAGAAAATATGACCTKTTTCTTTTACACTATTGCTTTGGACAGTCATATCTCCTGAGCCATAGGATCTATATACTAAGAAGCAAATTCAAGTCAGCACTCAGTTATTCTAATGTCTTAATATCTGAAAAAATGCAGTTCCTTGAACACAAGTGCTGTAATCCAAATGGTGAAGCTGCCATTTATTCAGATAAAAAATTCTTTAATTTTTGAACCTAAGGCATTGCCTGTCTTTTAGCAATCTCTTAAAGCATGGTATTTTATATAAAAAGTTCCAAAGTAAAACAGCCAACTTACATGTCTATATTTAAAATTTCCAGTCTTGTATCTCAGCTGAATACCAACCTGCTATCCGCTCAAGTTACTTGAAAATTTTATTATCGAGATATTTATTCTCCCTGCTCACACACACATTAGAAAAAAATCTTACACTTCAGTATACAAACTGATCCCAAGGTAGGGAAAGTCAAAGAGGAAAGTTCATTTCAGGTACATTGCTGTGCAGCTGATCTAGGGTTTTGGCCTTTGCTTTGCAGCATCACTTACTGGCTTAYTGCTAAGCACTGGATTAGGTGGAATAGTGGTTTGTTCTAGTATGTCATCTAAATGTTTAAACATAATCTGCTTTCCAAAAGACATTCTCCAGTTTTACATATGGCATGTACAGTAGTGGCATATTGTATAATTAAAGTTCCAATTGAAAAAAAGCATGTTTTCATGAAGAAGCTAGTTATAGTAACTGCAGAAAGAAGTCTTCTGCTTCCTATGCAGGAACAGATCAGAAAAGAAGCTGGACGTATCTAACTCATTTTCTTCCCATTGTGTTTGTCCATTAAGCAGATGAAGCGCACACTTCCCATGCTGTTCCATTCATGCAGCCCAGCGTTCATTCAGAAACAGAACGTTTCCTTTAGTTGATGGATTAAAGGCAGGAGAGGGGGAGGTGTGCAAAAGTGTCTGGGGATGTGCAATACTTCAGGAACAATGTTTAAAGGTTAATTCATGCTAGAGGTTTGTAATGTATATTTTACGCAACTTTAAAACAAAAAAGTTTTCTGCCTCCTAAATGAACAGAAATAACTTTTAAAGAGCAAGACCTAAAGAAGGTTTTTGTGCAATTGCTGAGAAGCTAAATGTCAGGTTACTTTTTAAAGCAATCTTGTATTACACTTCCATACACTAAAAAAAATTAAGCAAATACAATTTTTTCACCCCACTTTGACTGACCTCGCTTTATATTTTGGGAGGTTGAAACATGAACCTAAGAATGTGTTTTAGTGACCTTAAAAAAACAAGTAAACTCTGTGAGCAACTTAAAAGGTTATTGTTTGCTTTTTATCTTCACTTGCAGACCAGGTGTCTCTAGCAAAGTAAATCTGAGGAAAAGCTACTTTTTGTTGGAGGCTCTTTGTGAACAAAACAGATGACATAAAGAGCAGGTGTTAAAATAGTGAAAAAGGCAAACAGCAGTTATTTTACAGGATGTTTAGCTGTGGAAGAGCTAGGGAAAAAAAAAATCAGGCTATTCTAAAGCATCTTATTTAGAAGTCTCAGCTCAAATGCAAGAAACATTTCTCTGTCTTGTAAATCAGAATCTGTCTTTTGATCCCCCAAAGAATGGGTTAGAGATACTTATCCTAGTCCACTTGGCACTGATCTCCCAAGGACTGACAGGAAAAAGCATAGTTTTTACTAAATAAGGATGCTGGAATTTGCTTACTGGTTTCTGTTTACCTGATGTCACTTAATGATACTGTGTTTGCCTACTTAAGTGGCATTTAGGGCTGAAGTCTTGTGTGATTTTGCTATTTATGTTAGGAAATTGCTTAGCAGCTGGGTAGATTAGACTGTTCTGTTTTGTGTGTTTTTCATCCTGCATTGCACATCTGTTAATTTTAGTCTTAACATAACAACAGWGAGCATTATAAATTAATAAGTAGAAAAGTAAGTAAGTAAAGTAAGTTTGCATGTTTAAAACACAAAAAAAAAACTTAACTGACATTATTTGTGTCCCTAAAATAAGCATCCTAAACCTATAAAGAGAGATTTAGAGCTCCACCCTGGAGCCTTCAAGTGTATGTATTTTGGATTTAAGCTTCAAGGCTCATTTTCAGGTTGATGAAAATCGTGCGCTGTTTGTTTTGGAATGTGACTTTTAACACAAATTTGCCAGCAGGTTTCATTGGTTGTATCACAGGAGCTCTGTAACTTTCTAACTGATGAGAGAAGTGAACGCTAAAGCAAAATTATTTGATAACTATGTATAAAATAGCTGTTAATTAAAAAAACTGAATTCTCTCCATTCGCAGATTTCTTTCACTATGAAGAAACCATTATGGCATCACTGGAACACATATTTGGAAATACAATGCCAAGTCCTCAAAATATTTACTGCTTAGAAGACAGGCATCTTGGTATAAAACATAAATGCTCATAAATTTACTAKGCAGTTAGACTATACTATCACACTTTTCCAGATAGTAGTGAAATAAAGGAAATTTTAAGTCAAAATCTGTTCCACAACTGCATAGCATTTTGAATCCAATGAGTTTCTATAAAAATGTAAAATAGTGATCAGGTTTGTTTTCCAGTAACACTAAGAATGTATGTTGCAAATTTTTTCTTCTCCTCTTTCAGGTACAAATGTTGCCACTTTGGCAATAAACGTGTCATTTTCCCCTTAGTTCCAATGGAAATGCATTAAAGGAAGCTCTGTGGCATCTGYGACAACTTTTCCAGACTATTTTTCCCTTGAATATTGTACATTTCACTGGAAATGTTACAGGATGCAAAACATATCTGCTAAAGAGCTTTCTTGAAATTGTATCACTTCACATGGCTAATTTCACTTCAAGTCTGACTTGCAGTCTTTGCTGGATCTACAGTTTTTTTATCACTGGGGTTTAACAGGTTAATTTCTCCATCCAAGTTTTCAAATCATGTCAGATAACATTTTTCAGACATGCCTTGGATAAAGGTACATTCTATATTCTTTAAATAGAGCTAAAATAGCCCTTGCCAGTTAGTTATAAATTAGTAGCTGGGTCTCTCATGTCAGAAACTTCCGACGTGCCCGCGGTCCATCTGTGTATGTCATTTGTCCAAGCAACTCAAAAGTAATGACAAACTTTCAAGCACGATCTCTGCASAACCGTGCAGTTCACTGTACCTTTCTAATTAAAATTATATTCCCAGGCTACAAAACAACTTTTTGATTGAAAGGTAAATCAAAAATTTAACTTAGACAATTCACTCTGTGAATTTAGAAACTGTTCAAGAAAAAAAAAAAATCACACCGAAACAGATAACAGGATGTTAAGATATAGGATAGAAAATATATTCTCCCTACCTTCATTAGCCACTGAGTGTTGTTTTCCATGATGTTCTCAAGTAGCTGCAGTCTTTGAACGGAATCATCATAGTCCAGAGGCGCATCCCTTTGCACCGCGTTGGACACGTAGGGAGCGGAGGAGCGGCAGTTGTCCGCCTCGGGCAGAAGGAAGGTGTAGCTGCACGACCCGTGCTGAACCTGGTACTGCTTCTTGCCTATCGCCTCCATGCTCTTACTGAAGGAGTTGTACCCTGAAGCTAAGAATATGCCGCAGCCCAGAAAGAAGCAGGCGGCCAGCTGCATTTTCCCCCTTTCAGCGCTGAGGCGGCGGAGCTAGCGAGCGAGGGTGCTGGCCAGAGCCCGGCCCTGGCTAACCTGCGGCGCGGCCGAGCGCTGCTGCCATGTGCCGTGAGGCGAGGGCTGGGCTCGCTGCCGGCCGGGCCGGGCCGGGGCGGTGCGGGCCGTGCCCGCTGTCAGGCGCGGCGAGCAGCTGAGGGCGGCCCCGCCTGCCGCTGCCTTCCTCCGCCGAGCCCCCTCCGCCGAGCCGCCCCAGCCGATCGCTGCCCTGCCCTCAGAGGAGACTCGGTAGGAGCGGGCGGGCATGTGGAGCGGAGCTGCTCCTGCCTCCCTCCCTCCCTGCCGGGCTCGCCGCTGCCCGCACCGCACAGCTGCTGGCGGGAGAGGGGCGGCGAGAGGAAACCCCAGGGAGGAGCCGGCAGCGGCAGGACCCCTGCGAATTCCTGCAGCACGGCTCTAATTAAGAGTTTCCTAGACAGAGCAATCAGTTCCGATAGCCTCCAACTATGCTCGTAAATGATTTGCGATGGTAATCATTTTTAAACTCTTTCCCCCTCGACCACCCCACATACACACAGAAGTCCCTGGGCTTGTTTGCTCTTAATTTATTTTCTTTAAAATGTGCTGAACCAAGATGTGATTTAGTCGGTGTTTAATGCATTGTGTAAGTACAGAGAAAGACACTGTCCCATGCATACAAAAGTAGGCTTGGGCACGTCCTTGCAAAGGGAGCAAGAGGGGCAGTAATTAGAAGTTTACAGTCGAACMCAGACTTTGTATTTTACTGAATCTCCGAGATGAATACTAATTTTTTAGTGATGTCTTTCAAGAGTTAAGCATTTACAAGCTTTTTACTTATAATTTTAAAAGCTTTTATTTTTGTTTGTATGACATGGCTAACTTTGGAAATGCTAATGTTAATCAAAGAGTTAGAAATCACAAGTCAGCTGGGACTGGAAGAGGGAAAACCATCCAGAGGCAGTGGCAGTAAGGCATAGCTCAGGAAGTGGCATGGCTGAATAGGAGTTACCCTGTTAGCTCACCCTGTCCCTATTCTGTGCCCTTGGGTGTGGGAAATACCCATAAAAGGTGAGGGAAATTCTAATAAAGTAAGTATTTGAAATTTATATGTAAGAGTAAAAAAGGAGCTTCCCCCTACTTCCTAACTCCCATGGTCTCTGCAATGATCGGTCATCTTGAAAAAGCAGAAAATTACTAGCCAACTTACCAGACCCTGGGAAAGAGTTCATTCCACTGAAATTTTGGAAAAGTTTACTTTCTTGTAGGAAGAAAATGTCTTCTTGAAACCAGCGTGATAGGATACTGACTCCTGAAGACAAACTCCCGGAGATTTTGGCCAGGTTTGGATCTGGAAACTACAGATTTTTCTTAATTAAAATAAACAAAGAGAATGTCAGGCTAGTCAAACAAACATGATTTATTGACCAAATATTTCTCTTAGGACAGACTCTTACACAACTTGCTGTATCTCATGTGGCATATTGATATGGGTTTACTTTTTTATATCATGGAAGTTGCATTCAAGGGTTGTGAAAAATATTTGTAGCAGTTGATAACATTCATTATCTTAGATTGTTGGAAACTGCTGGTGCTTCTTTACATAGTTACCTTTGGAAAGGAAAATCTCTATAATTTCATTCTGGAGAATTCCAGAAAGATTCTGATTATATTTGGACTGTGATGAGTGGAAGCAATTTGTCAGATTTTTTCCTGGAGTATTCATATGCCATTGTTCATCCTTCCAACCAGAGGAAACAGAGGAATATATTTGGAATTGCCAAGATTATTTGCAACAAAATGCACATATTTGGAGGGTTTGGTATATGAAGTATGCATTCTCCATCCCTTCAAATTTGTGTTGCAATAGCAAAGCAGATTAATGTGACAGCAACTTGCATTGATAACAAAGTTTCAAACTCATTGTATACCGATTTCTCATTTTCAATGAATTGAAGTCTTTGAACGAATGTTTAATTCCATGTGAATTGCTCCATAATAAATTCCAGTCTTTGGTAAGATACTTGACCAACATACTATTATTCAATGAAGACAGAATATAGCRTTAGATTAAGGCACTAGACTGGGTGAAGCATTTCTAAGTATTTAACCAAACATTCCAATTCAGTATTTTCTGTTATTTGGGTMCTTTAAGTAATTTGCTAAGTTAAATGAGAATTTCCCATTATGACTTGTTCTTAAATTGATCTGTTCCCTACTTTACTTGCACAACTGGCCCAAAAAAATACAGGGTCATTTCTTCCAAGTCATCCTTCCTTTCACCACCACTTGCTTATACTCAGTAGAGTAGTGCTGAAAATTAGATTACTCCAGACCTGGAAATATCTGTCTCTTAATGCGGAAGAACGGGAGGAAAATATTTTTCTAATTATATTTTAATGGATTAATTCTTTACTTAGATACTAAATGAAAATACGAGACTAAACAGTGCAGTCTTTTAGAAGTTTTCTTTTTAGTTATTAGACCTCTACTCAAGGAACTGAACATATATAAAAGAAAATACTTAAGGGAGAATCTGCTGAGGATTCATTAGACAGGATCTCCATGAGAGGCTTGATTAAATCAGTAGTTTTTGAATGGCTATGAAGCTTGCCCTCTGTATGCCACTGTAGTGAGTCAGATCACCCTCGTAATCTGGCAGCTCAGTTTTGCAGGATTTTTGAGGAGAGATGAGTGTCTCTAAATGTTTGAACTGGAGTCTATTTTCCTTTMTGAAGGGCCGAAACAACCCCGGGAGGCCCGTGTGCTGTAAGGAGGCCAGGAGCTGAACTTGGGGACTGCCTAAGAAGACTTGCTGTATCCTGGGCCTCCACTAGGGAGAACTGTGGTTGTAGGAATACTGGAAAGAGGAACAAGTTCCTTTTTCCTACTCTGTTTTAAGCTGGGTTTGGGGTTTGTGTCTTGATTTTTTTTGTTGTAATGAATGAATGAATGAATGAATGGCCAGTTGCTGTGGCAGCTGTCTGCAGTTCAGGGAAAAGGTACTGAAGGCACAGGTATTGCTGTGAGAAGTGACAGCAAACACTCATGGAACTCTTACGGGCACAGCAGACACCACCAGTTAGCGCCCCTCACTGTGCTCCTTATCTGGCTCTTGGAGTAACACCCTGAGCTTCACCGTGGTGATGTTCTGCTCAGCCTTTCACTGATAATCCCAAACTGTAGGGACAATAACTGGGATACCAGCCCCAACACCCACATAACCAAGAGAGGGTTTTGCTGTTTCCCCATCTGGGTCCAAGGGGCTCATATTGCTTTAATGAGGTGCTTTCTCCCACTGTCCAGGAAAGTCGGTGAGTGTTCACCTTGCCAATGAAATAAATATACATCCCTTTAACCCTTTGCTACAGCACAGTGCTGTATTTGGTGCATCTTTTAGAGCAGTTGATTGTGATCCTTCACCCCTTCTATCCCTTTGGGAGCAGCTTTCCCAGCTGTAGAGGAGGAAGTGGTCTTCTCTTCTTCTCCAGGGAGTCAAAGCTAGTCAGAGTTCAGGAGGAAAGAAAGTAGTAACAGCTAAATTTAGAAAACTGGTGTGAAAAGTAAGGCAAGTTAAATCCATTTTTGTCCTTGAAATGTGAGGAAGAGGAAGGAAGATGCCTGAATACAGCCTTTTTACTAAGCATTAGAGACATTATAATAAATCAGYTTGAACAGAAGGGGTTATTCTGAAAACTGAATTACTGAGAAGATCTGTCCCCTGTCAGTTATGAGAAGGACATTTCTTTATTAGACATGCTGAAGCAGGGAGGAATTTAAATAATCTGGCATGGAGTCTTATAAAAGTCAGAAACTGAGTAAAAAGTCGTAATTCAGACTAGTCACCTCATTTCTTTCATGTTCATTGTTCTCTTCATGTTTCATTTCTGCTGTTGATATGGAGTGTTGTATTTACATTCATGATACTTTTTTCTGTAAACTAAAATATAGCTTTTAGCCTGTGAGTTCCTGCTTGCTTTAGAGCTGAGTGTATACAGTATATGCCATAAAATAGCAAATAGTAGATTGGTGTATTTGAAGTACAAATTAGATCTTTCCCTTTTTAGAAAGAAGATACCCACTCTACAGAACTCACCTTATAAGCAGAGCTGAAATGTATATTTTGTCAAAACTAAACATTTAGAACGTTTTGCCAGATGTGTGCAGGCAGTTTCCTTTCCTGGGAAACAGTAAATTCCCTTACTCAGCCAGTCCTGGGTTTCTTCCATACAGCATATGACCAGGCTGCTTTGAGAGAATTTGCCTGAATTCTACTAACGTTATCTTTCCAATTATGATTTACTTACAGCTGCACAGCTTCTGTSTGACAGGCAGATACAGAGATCTTGTGAGATCTCTGATAGAAAAGGAAGCATATAAACTTCTTAAGTAATATAAGAAAATGTTGACTTGGCTTTAGTATGCTATCTGCAAACTTTGCCTCCAAAAACTTTCAAGATGTTGATTTAGTAGATTMTCATTTCAGCAGTTTTCTCATTTTAGGAAGGGGAAACTACATAATGAAATACGTGCAAACTAAAGGTAAAACCAGGTRAACAAGTAGGTTTTGGTGCTGCATTCCTACAGGGATATTTGATCTACATACATAAATGAAAATGCTGTAGTATGAGAATATATAACTTCAAAATCAAATCTGAGATGAAAAAATCATCTGAAACATGGAATAAATTAATAAAGTATTTTGTATATTCCTGGTATTTGCATTCCTCGCATTTTGACACTCAATGTTAAGTCCCCACCTTTGTTTCCTGGTACTTTAATATTAGTTTATGATAGTTCAATTTTCTGTCTTCAAAATATTTTCTTCCACTGTGAGTAGTTTCGCATTTTTCTCAGGAACAAATGTCAACAAGGACAAGACTCATGAACTTGTAACTTGAAAAGCAGGGAACAGGACTCTTGGATTTTTAGTCTGCTGAAAATCTGCCTGGTTTAGATCTCCCACTCTTTTATAAAGAGAGGAATGATAGATTATTGTTTTCCTAAAGGCCAAGAAATTCTTTTCATCAAGACCCTCAGATTTTTAGCACTTTAAAATTAAAGATAATATCTCACCAATCATTCCTTCTTTCCCCACCATTTGCTTATTAACTTTTTCATTCAGTCTGGGCCTCTCCACCAGTCTCTCATGACTTSTTTAACAAAGTCTCAGGATTCTGCTCACTTTCTCAGCTGCAGCTTATTTCTAATCACTCAGAACATCTGGTGTAGCATCTTGTGAATTCATAATCATTTTTATGTTCCATCTCTGAYGTTCCATCACGTCCCTTTGAGTGCCCTTCCTTTCTAGGGAGGGCATTTGCCCAGTAGTTCTCATATTGTACTTCTGCTGAAGGGACAAGAGGTCAATAATCTGATCCACTGAAAATTTCAGTTACCACCCTCTCTTGGTGACTCAGTCTGTTCCCATCTTGYCTTGTAACATCCAATCCATCATTTCAGTACACAGTATTTTTCCTAGATGTCATAGCACTAGTGGAAGCTTAATGCAGCCAAAGCCAGACTTTGTGTATTCCTTTGGAAATGTTTGCATGCTCCCTTTTTCTCTTTAAAATACTGCCATCATCCTTCAATGCATTTAAATCTGCAAGTTATGTCTATATTCCTTTGTTTCTTTGATGTTTTATTCTCTCCCTTTTTTGATGCTATGGTTTCATTAATGTATCTAAAGTTTCTGTCTTGGGTCTTATCATCAACACATTGAATTTTGTAACATATTCTGTCTGGCTCCCCCATAATATTTGAAATGTGATTTGCTTGTGAAGTTTATTATATTAGTTCTGCCTCTGTAAATTACATTYAACTTTGCTATCATAAGGATGATTAGACAACCATCAGGGCTTCATACAAGTAGGTTATCTGCTTAATTGTTTCAAATTTGGAAGGTCTAAATTCAGCACCTCTCCTACCAATATGTCAAYATCATTGCTTTCTTTTTAGCCACTGGCTGGATTGACATTTCTGGACTTTCTTGGGTTAAACTTGGGATATCTTTTCTCAGATAATCTGACATTTAATGTGACCATATATTCAAATTATAGACTTATTTTGGCATCCCACATTGTTAATATAACATTTTCTCAAGGTTTTTTGACGAGATTGTATTAAAATACATTCTATATTTTATATATACATACTTATATCTGTATATATGTGTGTGTTTGGTATGTTGTTGATGCCACTGTACCTAAAATATAATTGGTCATGTTAATTTAGATTGGGACTTCATGATACCATATCYTGAGTAATAATAATACATGATTTAATGGGTTTTTAAAAATTCCTGTCATTATCGCTTCCACATTTCAAAACCTTATTAAATACAAAATGCTTCTTA